TTTCATGAGTTGTTTTCTACTAAATTGCGAATAATTTTTTAAAAGTTAATAATATTTTGAATTGAAGAAAACATAGTTATTTAAAAATAACAGTAGTTTTAAGATAATAAAACCTTCAAGCCGAAAATATTTATATGATGATCAAAATTACTTTTGCACATATAGATACCATCCTACAAACAAGTAACTGCGGCACAAAATAAAATGCAGGTTGATGGTTAATAAAAAAAGCACATTTTATCTTTATATTGGTACTTAAATTATAAAAAATGATTAATTTTACAAAAAAAAAACAATTTCAAAGGTTGATGTGGTACAAAAATAGATGGACGTGCGGCTGATTAACGAAAAGACCGAAATTATTTTAATTTTTTTTCTAATTTTACTTGGATGTAAACTAAACTTTATAAAAAATTGCTTAAGGCATATTTTTTGGATAAGACACAAAAAATTAAAAGAACGAATTTCAAGAATCAACGAAAATTTCAAGTATTGCTCATATTTTTGGAAATTAATGTAAACAAGATACAGACAAAAACAAAAAATATTCTTCTGTAGGTGCCGTTATTTAAACGTACGGTGTAGGTGTTGCTATAAATTACAAAATCGTTAAATTTTCATTCAACCTTAAATTTCAACCATTTAGTAAAATATTTTATTTTATAAAAAGAGCACTGTTTTCTATTCCTCATCCTTCCAAGTTTTTTCTTCTAATTACGCAAATTTTTAAAATAAAAGTTTAATTTGATATTTTGCTGGTTGATTTTTTTTATATTATTACTTTCAGTTAACTCCTGTAAGTATGCATTGTAATAATTTTTCAATAGAACACCATTTTCATTATTTATCCCGAAAGCTATTTGAGTTCTAAACATAAATTTTTGTGGCAACACTTCCTATTTTCATAAAGCATGGTTATAGTTAATGCCCCTTAAACATAAAATATTAAATTGCATAAAATATTATTTTATTTTGCTAAAAATTTAGAATATAATGATCAAATCGCAATTATCTTTTCATTGGCTGTAAATCTAGAAGTATTATGGCGACACACATATAATATTTTTTCACATAAATTAGGACGTATATACAAATACTTTTGTAAAATAAGTTTTCTGATTGATTTAGGCATGACTACTTTTATTGAATTTTAATAAAACTGAAATATGTTGCTATAATAAAAAAAATATTCGGAATAATAAACTTAGAAACTTCATTTCTAATACAGACGAATGCCTATTTTTTTTTTATTACAATATTTTTTTAATATTGCGATCACCAATATTAATAACTCATTAGTCATAATTTATATGAACTGAAAAACATAAAGGTTCAGTTTCAGTCCTTAAATGTGCTGATAACTAAAGAATTTTAATTTGATTTTTTTTCTGTAGATCAAGTTTTTGAGGTTCTAAAATCAATTAACACATTTTTCTTTGATTTTATACTTTACGATTCGAAATTTAGTGGTCACCTAGTTTTATTTACTTTATATGAGGTTGGAGTAAAATTTTACCCCTGCAGGGAGAGAGAATATTAAGTGAGATATACAGAATATTAAGTGTACAGCTGAATAATACAGCTGAATATAAAATCAAATTTATATTAGACATTTAGAATTTTACTAAACTTTTCAATAAAACATTTCATTTAATAAGAAGTAAAATGCATTTTCCCAAGAACTTTGTCTTGGTTCGACGAGAATTGTCATAATTTAGTAAAATGTTTAACTAATTTTTGTAAAAGAAATCACTCAAATATAAAATTTTAAATTATGGAAACTAATTCAATACCTCACTTTCAGGAATGAAACAATAGTAATCAGTAAAGTGATGTGTGGACCTTCCACTGTAAATAAAAATGAAAATCAATTTTTGAATAAAACTTTTATTTTTTCTTTTAACTTTTTTTTTGTTCTATTTTTTTTTTGATTTTGTTTTTAGGCGTTGACTATAAATAATAAAATTTTTCTTAAATAATTCATAAAATTTTTATTATACATAATTTTAACTTTTTTTTTTTCTCTCTTTTATCTTACAATGTTTACGTTTCTTATTTTTATTATGTATGTAATAGAATATTTTCTACATGACGTCATTTTATATGTAATATTATATAATGCGGAAGAAAATTAATAACAAAACTGAAAAATAAATTTAACTAGAAAAATAGCGTTTAAGTTAAAATATATTTATATATATATATATATATATATATTATGTGTATATGTACTACGAAATTTGTAGATAATATAGCAATTATAATAATTATATTTTGAATTTTTAACAACAAAATTTACATAATTTCAAAATATTTACATAATATGTCCTTAAAATTTATATGTAACTTCAATAAATGCGTACATTACTGTACTGTTTAGCGTACGTGTATGCAAATTACTTGTATTCTAATCAATAGAATGTTAAGGATTTTCCATTTTTCTGTTTAGCTATAATTTTTTTTTATTTTGTTTTTGTGGTTTTTAACAATGGTATAATTTTTATAAAATAGTTTTCTCTTTCATATTTTTATTATTTTATTTTAAAATTTATTTCATAAATATTTTTTGTTATTGTTAATTTTACTTTCAAATTTTCATAGTAAATTAAATAGATAATTGAATTAAAATAAAATTATTTTCTATTCAAAATTAAAAGAATTTTAGAATTGCACTTTCTGATTGCACTCTTAAATATATATGTATGTTTAAATAGATAGCCACACACTTCGTTTAAATTAAGTTTAATTGAAAAACATAACTAATACATAAATAATTTTTATATTTTCAGTAAAATAAATTAATAAAATTGTTTTTATTTTAACCAATTGAAAAGATTGAAATATTTTTATACAAGGTTATGTGTTCATTGGAATTATGAATTTGTTTCATAGAATAGGAGCTTCATGTTTCAAAAAATGAATTAATAAATGGAACCTATCGCATTTCTTTCACAACTACTTTAAATTGTTTAGATTTCATAATTGTTTTTTCTTAACGAATTCTATAACCATTATTATACCTTCGATATTAAGATTTTTATAAATTTCTTCTATAACCTGTTTTACAAAAAATCAAACTCTATAATTTCTAGATTATATATAAAGTAAGTGAAATGAAACAAATGTTTTGATAAATTAAACAATATTCTATATTAAATTGGAGTAGTTTAGATTCTACTACACATTCAGATTCACTATATAAACGAAAGTATAGTAAAAGAGTACTTATACCAGTACATTCATACAATAGATCAGCTAACACTTCATATAAAGTCAATTAATTTTCATTAAACATTTTTAAGTTAAATATTTCCAAACCATATAAAATGTTTTTAAAAAAAACTCAAATTTTTTTCATTTAATCTCCAATCGAATAAATCACAATGTACTGTAGTAAAATGAACGTAAATATTTTAAAAACACGAAAGATAGATTTATGTTATTCACACAATTTGATGGATTTTTTTTACATGTATCTAGTTATTTTTTCTTTATAACATGCACTATCCCTTACTACATTAATGGCAATTCATCAAAAGTTTAAAATATTTTATAAACTCAAAAATATGTAAAGGATTCATTAAAATTGTATATGAATGACAATAAATTTCCGAACAATTTGATATGAAAAAGAATTTAAATTCCTGAATGAACATTAAAATTGCCTAAAGGTTAAAAACGGACAATATAAGATAGGTTGTTTTTTCAACCAATAAATTTATTACAGTTACAGTATTTAATAGCTTCTATAATATTAAAATCAAAAACACTATTTTAAACTAGTCCGGTTAAATTCATTTTAAAATTCGTTTAGCTTACTGCATATCTGTAGGATGATTTTAGTTTATTAACGCCAACGTTTAAAATGCTTAATAATTTTGAATATTCGAACTTCCTAGCAAAATTTGAGTTCGAAGCTAATACATATTGTATTTTATTATTTCTTTTTGAAAGGATGATAGAAGCACATAAATTTAAAATTTGGAAAAATAATTACCATTGTCCAATTTTTGGAAAAAAAGTAAGTTCTTTCGTTTTACGTATTTTTATTCTTTAACGTTATAGCACATAAAATACAAAAGTATGTTGCTGTGGCAAATTTGTTTAAATAAGAATTTATAAAATCATAAAACTCTTGCGTTACGAATCCAAACCTGCGTTAGGAATCGCACACTGCTCATTTGTGGGGAACAGCATTTTTCCTTATAAATTAAAAATTTAATAGTAATAAAACAAACATGTTTTTGAAATTTTTATAAGAAAATTTCTGGAAATCTAAAATTGTTACAGAATTTTAAAATGAATATGAATTAATCGTTGTTATGTGCATGTGTTCGTATCATTTTCGCAAAATAAAAAAAGTTATAAATATTCCAGGAAATTAAAATTTATCCTATAAAAATATAGAAAAACGAATGAAATTGCTTTCATCTTCCTACATATGTTTTTACAAATAATAATTCAGTATAGGAATATGGTCGTGCACATAATACTGTCGAATTTACAACTTTATTTACATGTTTTTCAATTATTTAAATTGAGAAATTTAATAAAATTTTGAAAATGTATTACAATTAAATGGCATTTGAAAAGAAAAATAAATTTAGAGTTTTTTACGTTTAAACCTCCAAAATAGCCAAATAGTTTCAGAGCAATTTTAAAGTTGAATGTTTTAAAAAATCTTAAAAAGATTAAGGATTTCAAAGGAAAATTAAAGGTTTTCGTTTTGTAAAACAAAACGATAAAATTCCATTTTGAAGACTTGAAATTTTCTATCGAGTTTTTTTGAAATTTTTAATTTTAATAAAATTATTCGTAGATTTCCTTTGAAAGTACATTTGTTTCTTCGTAATTCTTGTATATTTTAAAAAGGAGCCGTAACAATGAGTTGTGTTGGCAATTTTCTATTAAAAATTACTTGTATTTGTATCATTTTGAGTTTATTATAGCAATTGCCGCACTTTTTAAAAAAAAAAAAATACAGTAAAATTACATTTGTATGTAAAAGTAATGATAATAAAAATGAATAACAATATTTCCGCTCCTCATTTCTTGCTCTAAATTTTTTGCAGCATCGATTTTACATGTACTTTGTCTATCATAACTCAAATATAGGGCACTACATTAAAAAAACATTTGGGGTACAAGTTTTCTGTATTGAAAAAACCAAAACATTTTTTTTTTCTTACTTATCTTTCACTCGTTGCCAATGTCACAAAGAAGCTACTTTTCATTTTATATACATATTTCATTTCTCGTTTGACTGAGTTCAATATGCTGTAAAAAATATTAAAGATAATAGTACTGAATCATCTTTTTGTAATTTTTAATCCTTATGTGTATTCAATTATTATTCTTATCTTATTAACACCCAAAATGATAAAATGTTTTAATAACAGTCATCAACATGAATTGTTATAAAGTAAAAGAAAAATGATAGGCAATTGGAACTAAAATATTCTTATTGCTTATATAATTTAGTGTAACACATTTTGCAGTTTTTTTATGATCCAAATTTTATTCACCAAAAAAAATTATAAATTCATTGATTTAAGACTTAAGTTTCTCCCATGTGAATGTGATAGAATTGAATTGAAAGTATAGGCACCGCGCGTAAAATTTAATTTTCCATAACAAAAATGTCGAAAATTGCTTTTCCGAAATAAGCACTATTTAAAGAATTTTTTCTATTCTAATTTAATTAGTTAAATTATTCAGAATTCCAAAATTATTTACTTAAGAAAAAGTATAAAACTCAATAAGATATTCTTATTAAAGTTGTATTTTTCCGAAAATAATGTTTTGATTGCCATTATTAAAAACCAAAAATTTCAGCTAACGTTTTTGTTTTTTGTTTTTTACTATAGGATTTTTTGTTGAAGATCCCACTATTGCTGTTGTTTCTAATATTGTTGTAGATGGTTCTTTTACAGATGTAATTAAATTTACTTTCTCATTACTATTTACTATAGAATTTTGTTCTAAATCATTAAAATCATCACCATTTGTATTATTTTTTTTGTCATTTTCAATTCTATTTACTTTTAAATTCTTCGTTGTATCTAAAATCTCACAATTATTGTCCTTATTTGTAATTACAAATTTTTCATTATTACTATTACTATTATTCGTTGATGGTATTCTTATTTTTATGCTTTTATCACTGGCTGTATTACTTAACACATTATTCATTTTAGCATTAATTAAACTTTCTATTGATTGTTTAGATTGATTTGATTCTGATTCGGGTGTAATTTTTTGATGATCTAGTATAGCATTTTTTAATACTAAATTTTTATTATGGAGTTCATTGACAGAAGTCTCAGATATAGAACTGTCACTAAGAGAATTTGATTTTGTTAAAATATTTGTATCACCTAAATTATTTTGAATTCGATTAATTCCAACAACACTATCATTATTTTGTTTCGATTGAGAAATTCTATTAAAATCACAAATTTCATTATTTAATTTCGGTTGCTGTTGTGTGTTACTTGATATTGATGATGAAAATTTATCACATTTATTTGTATCGCTACATGAACTATTACTACTGCTACTACAACTACAACTATAATTAAGATTACCGATACTACTTAATGTATCAGAATCGGAAAGATTATTACCATTATTCATATTATTATTTCTACATAACGTATTATTAATAGCATCATCAAAATCTTTTTTACTTTTATTTTCCCGATGTTTTTGATTGTGATGATGTTGATGGCGATTCCTATGATGATGTTTGTGATCGGACGTCATTTCTTTTAAATTACTACTAATAATAAAGGAGCCTTGATTCGTTCCATTATTTAATGCCATCATTGAATTTGGATGAGATTCAAATGATTTTCGAAAGTTAAAATTATTATTATTATTACTAAGATTACAGTTACCCAAAGATGATGATTTTAATTTTTTCGATGGTATTATAACAGCTACCGTAGCAGACATTCCAGGTTGACCATCTGACATTGCTACAGCTGTGTATGTAGGTAATTGTTTTTCATTTTGAATATTATCATTGCCAGCAGTAAACTGTTTTTGATGATGGTTGCTTATATATACTGCTGATGATTTTAATGGATGTTTTTCTGAACAATTTTGATAACGTTGAACATTTTTTAAACGATGGCAATCAGCCATTTCATCAAGATTATCTTCTAGTGAAGAAATTTGTAAATCATCTGGTGTTTGTGTTGTTGGTGAACAACTATTACTATATTTTTGATTTGATTCCTCTATGGTTGTATTACAACATATATTAATTGATGGTCGATTTGAATTACAGCTGGATGAATTGTTATTACAATAATTATTAACTAAATGATGATTACGATTCGGTGTAACATTAGTTACAGTTGAATAAATATCGTTTTTACTTAAAGTTGTCATTAATGTTGATTGACTGCTAACTGATGTACAACGACAATGGTTACCCGTTGAACCGCTGCGCATTGATATACGATTAGCATTATTAATACTGTTATCGTGTAGCAAAGACAAATCGGATTCCCTTTTATTAAGATGAACAACTGTTGTACGATGATCCAATGTTGACATATTTAAGCGCATTGATCCATTCGGTCGTGGTAAAGCACTATAGTAGTTGTTATTTTGTGTTTGGTAGGATCCAAATAGGCCACATTGCCTTGCTAAAGTAAGCTGAAAATGAAAAATAGAACAGATAAAATTTATAGATATTTTTTTTAGTCTTCAATTATGAAAGTGACATTGTACTATTTTTTTTAAATACTATGTGTATTGTAAAATAAAAGGTAAATTTTTTATATTAGAAATTTTTAATAAAAAAAAAGATGAATATTCAATTCAAATGAAAGCCTGAAGCAGTGAATTAAAAAATATATTTTACAAAAACAGGAGAATTTCGACGAATTCGGGAATTTTCATGAAATATTAGTTTTCTATTACATGGGAGTCATCCTAGGAAAATTTTTATAATAATTTTTTCCTTTTCAGTAAAATATTTTTATATTTACTGGAATGGGTTAATAATTTTCAGGAATTTTGTTATACAAGGCCACAAGGGTCGATATTTAGCTATTCAGCTGGAAAATATATATTTCTTAATTAGAGTTCGCTTAGTTTAAAATTAGAATTAATAGAAATTTAAAATTAAAATGGTCCCTTTGTAATCACCCAAAGGCTTGTTCTGTTAATGACAAGTTTTCTTCTTATTAACCCTGATGTGAAAAATATGTTTACGTTCCTAAAATTATACCATCTTTTCCTTTTGAAATATGAAAATTAAGATATGATGGAAAAATAAAAAGTTAGCTGAAACTTTGAATTTTTGAAACACTGAGAAGTTCATTAGAAATTTCTGCTGAGGAACCTTTAATGTATAATGTAACTCAAACATCGTCAATCCCTTTATAAGCGTTGTAAATTTTTAAGTATTTCCTCAATATTTAGAAGAATTTAATAAAATCCATTATTTAACTAGAAATATTAATTTTGTACATTGAAAAATCGAGGGTTTTATTTTATTTATACAACAATATTCATTTCATGTTCAATCAACTCTATTATTATAACCATTGTACCCGCACTACATAGTTTTAGAAAAAATTGTATTATACAAGTGCAATATGATATTGACTGACTATTATATTTTTTACAGAAGAATCAATAGAAACACCATACCTTTTGTGTAAACAAAATCTAGAGTGACATAAGAGTTTACTATTTATATAGAACATTTTTGATAAAGTTCAAAAACAGGATAACATTTAAACGAGGTTATTATAAATTATAGATTGTTTAAAAAGGATATTCTTATGCTAAAAAAAGAATTTGATATTGCGACTATTATCATCGTTTAATATCTTTGGACATTTGTTGTTTATATTATAGATTTTTTGATAACACATTGTAATATTATATCCTGATATATATCCTTGCCATCAAATATATTGAAAATTGTATAGATCTATTGGTATTTTCATTCTATAAGGAAAATCAACAAATTTTGAAAATCAATAAAACTAAAGGGTGATAAAATTTAAAGAATTATTATGAAATAAATAATTTTTTTATAACAAAAACCATTAATAAATTGCTTTAATTTTATACACATTTGACAAAGACTGTTGTAACACTTAGAATCATAATAAAATCACATAGAAGAATTGCTTCTTAGTATTTCCATTTTGTGTTATTCAATATGAACTAGAAACTTTCATTAAATTCATGAAACAATCAACCTTTTAAGGTAATATTTTATTGAGGAAAAGTTTCAAATTTAATTTAAATTTTAATTATATTTTAATATTTTATATAAAGTTATTGGATTATTATTGCCCATAAATTTTTATTCTACTTCTCTTCTATTTTGTAACGCATAGCTATTTCTTACAAAATAATTTTAATTTTCGATATTTCAATTGATACAAATAGCCATAAAGTAAGTGAAAATTTTCTAGTTACAAAATATCAAATATTCTCGACCAAATTCTATTTTGATTAGTCCTTTTTCTCGAATTACAAAAAAAAGGATGAATATCAGTTGAAATTCTTATCGTTTTCTTTAATTGCGGTAACTACTTTTTATTCTAAGAAATTAATTTCCTTTAAGTATAAATTTGGGTTATAAGAACTCCTTTTCCAATATTTTCTTTTATCTTTATTTTATCCGTACTGTATGCAATAATAAGAGGTGGTATATAAATTTAATATAAAATTAAATGTATGCCTTCCCCCAATATTATGCTTTTCCTTTTCTTGTCTGACCAAATTTACTAATATTTTTAATATGAAACAGTGGATCAAAATTATAATAACTAGACTATTCCATAAGAAAAAAAAATATACTTAATATTTCTATTATGAAAATAATAATTTATCAAGAAAAGCCAAGAATATTTTAAAATTTTCATTTTATAACCATATAGACCAAAGATTCATGAGTGTGAAATGAAAATTCATATAGCATAAATATATAAATATATGTATATATGTGTATATACTAAGAATTGTATACGGGAAATGGGCGAAAATGAAACAAAAAGTATATTAAATTACCTTGAAAGCATTTCGAAATTTATGACTCATTATATTATATAGTAGAGGATTTATACACGTTGAGAGATAATACATTACACCGGAAACATGATTTAGTACCGGAAAAACTTTCTTAAAAAGCTTAGAGGGATTTTCAACTGTAGATCCATAGACGGCCATTAAACGTTGTGCATGAAATGGTGCCCAGCATAGAAAAAATGCTACCGCAACAGCAACTGTAAAAGAAACAGAAAAAATAAAATAAAAAAATTGTTTAAATTATTTTTAGACTTTTTTCTGAATATTAAAAAGTATATTAATAAATCATAAATTAAAATAAAATGTTTCTAAACTTTTTCCTTCGATTTTTCCAACATAGTAATCATAATATTAATTTTAAGAAATTTGATTACTTTAAAGATATTTCTATACACAATAACTTTAATTCTATTTAAGGAATTATAAAAAATTTCTTATCCGGATCTGAAGAATTTAATGGGTTTTAATATTTTAACTATGCTCTCAGGTGAATAAATAATATGGCAGTAAATAAAGTTTAAACAAATTATAATTATTGTACTTAAAATCCTTTCTCATATACTTTTCAGATGCTTTTCCTATGTGTGAGTACTCGCATTTTTATTTTACATTTATTAAAAAATAAATTTATTATAGCTAAATATAAGTTCAAGGATGTTACGTGTAATAGAATTCTATTATATCATACAGTGTGGTTATGATGAAATGTGGAAATTTATTTTTTAAAAGTAATTGCATTTGAAATTTTTTTAATAAAAGAATATTACAAGTATAAGCACATTATAGTTTTTATTAAAATGTGCCTTATATGTAATTGATAATTCATATGTGGTATTCACATAAGACTCAACAATTAGTATGGGCTGAATATAAAAAAAAATAATTAACGTAAAATTTAAGTTAGAATAATTTGAGAAATAAATATGTGAACACATATAAGCTGTACAATAAAATTTATTGTGGCATTAAATTTTAATGAAATTAAAATTTAAATCTCTTTTTAAATATACATAGCTAGTATGTATTTCTTAAAATATTTTGAATTCATGATATTTTTGAAAAATTAAAGCAATATTGGAAATCTCCTAAAATTTTTAAGGAAGGGGGCATTTTATTATGGAAATTTTGATTGGAAGCCTTCTTTATGATTGTCTTTTCAAATTATTTTGATGTTTCAATATGAATTGAATTACGGTATACAAAGGGGAAAATGCATCAAAGCTATTTTACTTCCTGGTTTCTTATTGATTTTAAATGTTAGAAAAGACCTTTAAACCAAATAATCAGACTCAATCCTTAAATGTCGCGTATTCAGTAAAAATTTGAATGGTTTTCTGCGCTTTCATTTTTTTCTAAATTATATTTTAAAAATTTTTATTATTATAAGATTGTTTCTGCCACTTCACATTAAAATAATGAAAGAGTTTTGATCGTAAAATGAAGAAAAATATAAAAATTTTTACAAATTATTCAAATTTTCCAATGAAGTTTGGAATTTTATATTTTTTCCTTACACGTTTTGCCAGTTTTATTCAAAAAGACAATTAATTAATGGTTTGATGGAGAATATTTTTCTTTTTATTACAATGCATGATAAAGTTACTTTCATTTTTGTAATATTTTTTTAAATATTTAATCCGACATTATAAAAAGTATTTGTATACTTACTTAACATTCTTATTACTCTTGTCTGAGCACTGATTCCTCTGTCATATCTTTTTACACCATGCAGTAACTTGCTTTTCTTTAATTTTATTCCAATTAAAACGTATAAAACGCATATTGCAGTCATTGGTCCAACAAAAAATACACATCCTGATACAGCAAAAACATGTCCATAAAACCAGTTTTTTAACTAAGGAATAATAAAAAGAAAAAAATTAATTTATTTTTTAATATTACTATGAACAAATTAATGTCTTAAATTGTTATAACAGTCATAAAAGAATTCTTTTAAAATTTTCTGTTTAGAAAACTATATGAAATCTGTTTCGAATTCTTGTATAATAATGGTGAACTATATATAAAACAATGTTTTTATAATTACAAACTAACAATTATATTCTTGAATTTAATTATATTTTTATAATAATTGTGCATAATTGAGTATATAATGTATTCAAATATATTTATTATTCAATTTAAAAGGACTATAATGGCGTAATCTGGAGTTGCATTTAAAATTTAATTGAAATTAATTTCAAATTGAATTTTACTATATTCAAGAAAATATATTATAAAAACAAACGAACCAGTACCCCGATCATATCCAATTTAAATAGCATTCTGGCATTTACTATAATAAAGCATTTGTGAAAATTTGGTGAACTTAGCTCAATTAGTTTTTTGAGTTATCGTTGGGGCGGACGGGCGGATGGACAGGCAAAGCTAAATCCACTCAGAATTTTGCGCTGATTGAAAACATACACTTGAGTCTACATCTCAGACCTTTATTTCTTAACGTTACAAACGGTAAGGCAAATTTAGTATACCCTTCGAACATACATTCGTACGGGTATAAAAATCTTTGGAGTTTTAGTAGGTGCATAAAAAAATTTTAATGGTATATTTTTAAAAATTTAAATGACATTCAAGCAGGATCATCTTTAAGGATTTGCTTTTGATTTTAAATTCTTAAAATTACATTTGCTTAATATTACATTTGCAAAATTACAGCAATGCTAAATTACTGCATAAAATTTAAAATGTTTTGAGCTTTAGTTATGCAAGCGGCTCGTTTTAATAAAATTATTTTATTGCACTTAACAAAGTTTTCCTATAATTAAACGAATTATTAAAATGAATAAATTTAATTGCATAAAATTGTCTGAAATATTTACAGTTCATATTAAAATTTTTAATTATGCTTAACATAAGGGGAACTAATTTTAATTGTTCACTTCTAGATACAAATAAACTTTTGTCAACTCTTAACGACTAGCAACATTTTTATCATTAATAAATTATGCGGAAAATAAAATATTCTTTAAAACTAAAAATTTTCTGAAATACAAAAGCTTTCATATTTTAATAATACAAAATATTCCGCTACTTTATCATGTGAAATAATTTGCAATTTTTCAAAAAAGACAATTATTTATAAAATATAAACTAGAATATTGAATTTTCAATATTAAAATCCTTTATTTATTTTATTTCTTCTTCACATACTCAAACCAATTTATCCTCTCAAATTGTATTGTAAATTTTTATTTTATTTTATATTATAAACATATAATATTATACAAATGTATAAATGAAAACATACCGTACATAATGTAGATCCACGTTCCGCTATAACAGCAAATTGCATTGCTTGTGGAAGTGCCAGGATAAATGCAGTCAACCAAATAGCTAGTATAAATTTAATAGCACGTGATAGTTTTGACATACTATGTTGTCTGAAATTATATAAAAATATTCACACATATATTATATAAATATATTGTATACTATATGCATTTTGTACATATACAGATGAAAGAACTTTAGTTTTAAGATTAAATGCACTATAAATTCAACAAATAAAGGAGAAATAGCTAAGCATTAAAAAGAATAAAATTTATTTGTATTTTTTATTTATCTATAAATCTATAAACCATTTTAAAGTTGTATCTATTGTAAATTGAATTATCTTAATGTTCTTTTTGCAAAAATTGAAAATAAAATCATAAACCACTTTAATTTTGCTTATTTATTGTTCTAGAAAATGGTTTCTAATATAAAATGAAGACATAAAGAAATGGCTTATTTGATATTCCTAATATATTCTTACGATACGAGTAATATCAGTTCTTATGTACAAGAGATAAATTCACGAGTTTCATAAAAATATTTGAAAAAACTTATTGCTCACAATAATTGAAATATAAAATAGACTTTTCAAAATTTAATTGTGAATGGTAAAACTTTAAAATATTAATTTTAATGTCTTTGAAAAGTTCTTATTACTGTTATACATATTTGGATTTAATTTGAAAAGAAAATTGCTTTGCTATGATAAAGCTTTTGATCCTTAAACAAGTTTGAGTCAAAACTGTTTCAAATGATGTAATTAGCAAAATGTGATGTAATTTAATTTGTAAAATTAAAAAAAGAAAAGTTGAAAATTTAAAAAAGGATTTAAACATTAATTTTTTGATATTAAAAATATAACCGCCTAAATTTATGCAATACATAATAAAAATTTTTCATTTCATACATTAAAGTAGATATATTGGAATCTTTCCATTTATAATATTATTTGTAGATATTATACAAGGGTATTAGTTGAATTTCCAAGTTCTTTCATAAGTTCTCTTATATTTCGTTTCATATACTTGACAATAATGTGACAAAGTATTGCATATCTAACTTCAAAAATCTTGTTTTCATAATACCTTAACTTAGTTTATTTACTATTTACTTTTAAGATTTTATTAGAGTATCCACCAAACCCAAGAAATTCGAAATCTAACATACTTTCACAAAAAAAAAACATTTCAAATATTCCAACTGAATGATTTTCAGTTGTTATATACACGTTGAATCATTCAGATAATCATTCTATATTATTATATATGTTATACTAACATGTGTTGTAGACATGCTCGAAAAGAAACGTTAAGTGAAGTATATTATGTAAAAGATAAGCTTATTATTATATTTCCTAACTCTCACTACTTTTTTATTATGTAACCGTTTTGTTTGTATTAATGATTTGCTCATTATATAAGTACATAACCAACTCAAAATCAAAGTTGATTGATTGTTATTAATGGAGGTGGTTATACATATGTATATGTTTATGTATATTCATTTATTTACAAACCTCGATTAAAACATATTTATAATGATATGGAATAATAAATCATTGGATTTATTTCATTGAATATTACATAGTTATCCATATTATTACAAAATTTTTAAGCAATTTTATACTTTAATACTGTTAAATATATATTTGGTAGATATTATTTATATACAATATAAATACAATTTCATATATTGAATAAATCTTTCTTTACATAATATGCTATGGTAAGTAATTTCTAATCTTTTATGTTATTTTCTTTAATACAATAATATTTGTATTGTAATGTTAATATTTATATAAATTAAATAAAATGTTAATCCTTACCTAAATGGATGACATATTGCTATATATCGTTCCACTGAAAATGCTGTTATTGTTAAAACAGTTACATTAGCAGCTGTTTCCAATAGTGTACTTTCTGTAATACAAACAAAATCTGTAAATGGATAAGACCTTGGATGCCATAATGAATAAAGTTCTTGTGGTAATCCTAAAAATTATGAAAAAAAAAAAGACATTATTGGTATTAATTTGTCATTAAAAATTTTAACAGGAATGTAGTTTCATGAAAAATTTAAATGTGAACAAGCTCATAATTTGTATAAGTATACGTATGTAAATTTTTCACTATACAAAATTTTGCAAAAAAAAAAAGTTGCTGAGAAGCTCTAAAATGCAAATAACAAAATAATATTCTAACTCTTGTTATTTTTCATCACCTCACAACTCAGGAATCAAATTTTGTCGAAATATTGTAAAAATATTGTAAATGTAAAAGACGTATTAGATCTACTTTAAATTTTCTAAAATCAATTTGTTTTACAGAATAAGGACAATGCCTGTATATAAATTTTTTGAAATTAGATAAGAATTTAATCGAGAATTAACCCTTCAAGTATTGAAACAATATTACCTTACGCAAGTTAAAGTAACTTAATCGTAATTTTAGTAAAAAGTTTCGAAAATTTGTCTGTAAAAAATTGGGTACCAATACAATACTTTCTTTCTCTCAAATCTCGTATAAAAATTTTTATTAATTATTCATTTTAGTTGTCAGCCCATTTTAATCTTATGTACGTACATAAATATGATAAAAATCTTATGTATATACATACAATATATAAATTATTTTTAAGCTGGTTTTTCTATTTTGTTTAATATTATATTTTCTGCCTTCAAATGAAATAAAAATTATTATTATGATTTTTTATATTGAAGAAATCCAAAAAGGACATAATGAAATAATTCTTAACAAAGATTTTTGTTTTTTCTATTCAAATGTCATGCACGAGTATTATAATAAATCCTTAAAAAATCCAAAAAGGAGAGAGAAATCTATTGTTTTCGATTTCGAATAAAATATGTGTATTTTCAATTATGTAAGATCTTTGAAGTCTAAAAGACTGAAAAAATTAAAATATCGTTATATATTTTGAGAATATTTGTTTTTTGTGTTTTTTTTTTGTTTGAAGGCCAACTGTAATAAATAGCGAAAAAACATTAACAAAAGGAAATTCTAAACGACGTTAAAATATCGTTTTCTAATGCCGGCAGTAATTATGCGCGAATATCATGGTCAAAATTTAATAAATTTCGGAAATTCTCTTATTTTAATTATTTGTTTTTCTTAATTAAAATCAATTATATAATAACCTAGTGTATGTTATTTATCTAAATAGGCATAATTTTGGAATTCACATGTTATACGTAAATGTAATTAAAAAAGTAAACATTTGGGCTCTATTGCACCAAAGATTTTTGATTTTTCTGTTGGAGTAAGAGTCAAGGCGCTTATAAACTATATTGATAAAAATAACTAATATTTAAAAAAAAAATATTATTGAGTTAATTAGAAACAATTTGATTAATACATTTTTGCAGTATTATCAAAATTATAAGCGAATATGTAAAAAGTAATTTAAAATTTTGTGACATTTCGAATGATTTACCATTACTATAACAAATGCGGAGAGCAAATGAATAGAAATACTAAAATATTTTAAAATTAAATATAAAATTTGAAGCATTTCTTCTTGGATTTTCGAAATGTTTTCTTAAAAGAGATTCTACACTTTTTTCCCATGAACGATCTATTATGAGTTTTTCATCTGTGGCTAAGACCATAATGATGATTTGAACAACTAAATAAAAAATTTCAAATTCATTCAATATTGTAATCAACTAAATAAATAGCACTAACTAAATTTCAATTTATTTTTACTGACCGCATTGCATACAATAAGGGAAGTTATATGATGGCACAAAAAAAGATGAAACTGAAAATTTTTTAAAAATTTAAGAATAATGAACTAATTTTATATAGTATATTTTTTCCCAAAAAAAGTTTATTTATTTTAACTAGTTTTTTTTCAAGTAACGGAATGATTCGCAAGCATTCCGTAGGAAAAATTATTTCCAACAATTTGTTGTTTTTAATTAATCAAGCATCAGAAATGTTATTTTTTATAGTCTAATATTTTCGATAAGACAACATTTTCTGTTACCTTGAGACAATGTTAAGTAAACAATTTTAAATTTTAATTTTCACGGAGATTTCAGAAATTTTACTGAGATTTCCTTTAAATTTTTCTGAAGGCCAAAGATGACGGAGAATGGGCAGAGTGAAATTAATAAGCAAAATTTTCCCAATAAAATTTTTGTCTTATTGCATATAATACTATAAGGCAATAATTTTATTAAATATAATCCCATTTTTTTTTAATTGTATAAATATAAATTTTCTATGTTTTGGGAGGCTGGCGATTCTTTTATATTTTTAAAGCGTAAAAAATCTTGGAAAGAAATGAAAATATTTTTCCTATTTTTTTAAATTCAATTTTTATCAAGCCCTTAAAATTTTAACATTGAACTCAATTTAACAGCTCAACGAATTTAAATAACTAAATATAAAAGAACATAAAATTATACTGTTCTTATAACGCAATGTTTATATACAGCTAATTAAATTTGTATAGGATTTTTATAAAATTTATGAGGTTCCATTTACTTATTAAAAAAAAAACAAAATCATTAACAATAAAATAATAACCTGTTTCTATTAACCAAAATTTTTATGAATATTTTCCGGAATATACCTTGGAAAATGAACAAAGAGGAATGTTTTATTATATTAATTATAACACGTAGGCAATTATAATTCACTTTTCTTCTCATAAGCATAACATTAATACATAATTGAATTAAATTAAGATCATTTTTGTGTAGGAAAAAAGTTATATTTTCTTTAATTAAGAATTTCTCTGCTGAAAGTTTTTATGATTGTAATAATGATTTTCCTATTAAATTTTACTATTTTACCTCATTTATCGAAATAAAAGTACATTTATTTTTGAAATTCTCCAAAATAATCAAAATAATAATGATAATTTGTAACTTGGATACGATATTCATTATACAAAAATTTTATTTTTGTTCACATTAATTTTCATTTAATATGAAAATGTTTTATAGAAAATATTTTAGTTCCGAGTAGAACATTAAAATTTTGTTCTATAGCATTAACAAAAAAAATCGATTACATTCTATTCAAAATATTTGAAATTATTTTGAATAGAAAAATATTTTTTTTTTGCGTAGATTTCAATAAAAATAAAAAAATCTTTAAAAAATTTAGCATTGAAAGAGGAAACTGAATAAACTTTTTCACCGTTAAAAAAAAAAATTAAAAATAATGAACATATTCTTTTCTTGCATTTATTTAAGTTTATATAACTGTATATTGACCATATGATGTAAAGGATATTATTTCAAAAAGTTTTAAAATAGTATTTCCTAGTAAAGCAGAATGAGTATCCATTTGATTATGTGAATTCAATAATAGAAAAGAATAGCAACGGAATCTCTATTGAACAAAATTTTTGCGAATTTTTCATAATAATTTTCATTTAATGCGATTAATAGGTATGAACGTATCTAATTACGTAAACCATTACAAAATCTATCAGAAATTATTTATGTAGGTATTCATAGTGAAGCTTACATAATTTATAAAACTTCAAAATATTATCCCGTTTATATTTTATCGGCTGTATTACACATACATATGTATTTAAAGAGTAATGATGGCGAAAATTTATGATGATCACAAATTTCATCATGTTATAAGAAATGACGTATACACACATGCATAATTCAATAAAATTTTGATTAATACAGGGTACTACCGTTTCTTTTGTAATTGTATAATATTTCTGTTGCAACTTAACATCATTTACTGCAATATTGCAATTTCCTCTCATTTGTTGCAGTTTTCCACTAAAAAAAATTTTTGTTCATCTTTTGTTGTGATGTTGGTTTAAAGAAAAATCCGGAAAAAAAATTGTTTTTCAATATAGAATTTGTTTATCAAAATTTTTCAAAAATTTTATATGTTGTTATGTGCCGCTCTGTTTTGAACAATTGAATTAATAAACCTTTGTCTCCTAAGCTAAAGAATATTGATTTTAAGCATTATCTAACCAATAATATCTTATCACACTTCACATACAATTTATATACATGTTTATATACACATACATATATATATTTTGATAAAATGATCAACTTTTCGGAAAACTTTCGGAAACCTTTCGGAATGATAAATAGGTTTTCTTCAAATTTGTAAAATTTTATTTTTTGGTTGAATTTTTTTTATAAATTTTTCTAGAAGATCGATTTTCAGTATATCTCTTTGAAAGTATACCCTTTTCTTCTTTCAGAGTTACCGTAAATAATGACCTAATAATATTGTGATAAAATTTTGGCATAATGTTTGCACAAGACATTTTCACATTTTCGGATAATTCCCCCTTCCAACTAGTACAAATTCATTTTACCAGGTAAATACATACAGTTCCAAAAATATACACCGTTTTCTTATAACGGTATTTAGACTTTACTTGTAATCCCTATACCCCTATTCATGAAATTTAGTTAAACATAACATTAAAATTTATTTGGATCACTTATTGCAAATTCATCTAATATTGCAATCGATAGAAGGATAATAAATTAAATTTAGAGGAAATTAACTAAGATTTTTTTTAGCTTACTCTATTTGATTTTAATAAATTGAAAATGTAAGATTCTTTAGTTTGCATTACTATATAAGCATGTCGCTTAATAAGTTTCCGACTGACTCGTTTCCTGTTTTAGAATTTCTATTAAAAGCATAATTTGTAAATATAATTCTATAGCATGTAGCACAATATTGCTAAAAAATATACCTATACATATATACATTTATCAAAAACTTTTAATACTAAACACGTGTATAAAATTCCCCAATATCACTAAAATATTAAACGTGTATAAGATTCCTCTATATACATCTATAGTTCAATATACCAAAACTTTCAATTCACAGAGTGAAATTTTATGTAGGTATTTTATTTAATTTTGCTTTAATTGTTTACTTTTAATGTATCAAATTGCCTTATTAAATTTTCTTGAGAAAGAACAGTAAAACTTTTAATTAGACCATTATGTCCGAATTTCTTAAATTTTTCATTTTTCTTCTTAAAAATGATATTTATAGATTTTGTAAAGAAAAATTCTTATATTAAAAGAACAGAAATATTGATATTTCGAACAAAATATTTTGTACGTTATTGAAGTTTTATAATGACATTGCCCTTTATAATTTGTAGTCCTTTAAGAAGTTACTATATTACGCAAAATGATTACGTTACAAGCTGTGAAATATATTAAGGAAAGCTATATTTTCGTGTACTATTCCACACAGTTTTTTGTTTTATAATTTAGAAATTCGAATTGGGGATTTAAAGTATCTGGGAATGCAGTTTTATAAAAAAAAGTTTCATATACGTACTAAATACAAGGTTTTGATACAAATCACATACATTATCAGAACTCAACAATATTTACCGAACGATGAACGCATACTGTAATCGCGTTTATCACCAAATATCGAATATTGAGTTTCTGCGAAAATGCGCCCATGCTAATTTACGAAACTTTAATTTAACGAAATTAAATTTGAAAATTTAATATTAGTTTTGCCATTTCAAAAAGTTTCCTACAAAAAACAATCGTACTTTAGTTGAAAAAATAACCTGAACAAACTCAGAAAGAAACAACACCTACAAAGGTCCTATATATATAAATTGAACTACAAATGTATGTAGATATATTAAAGTTTAAAATAATAAAAACAAAAATTAATAAATTTAATACTAAGGTTTACTGGCGGCGGAAAATTTAATGGAATAAATCTGTTGTTCATTTTCACATCAAAAAAATTTTTTTTGTATTTTGTCACGTATAAAAGAAACAAAAACAAAAAATGAGATCAAAAGAATATTTCATTTCAACCTCACAAACATGAAAGTATTAACAACATTAAACCCACACACATTCTAAAGGATTAAAGTTAAAAAATCCTTTTGAAGAATTTTCTGCTTACAAAATTCTAAACGAACACAATGTCTATCACACATTGGTGTGGTATAAAATAATCTTTAATAATAAAAAAAACTATGGGAAATGAAATCTATATATACATATGCCTACGTATTATATATATAATATAGTGGTTAGCAGTCAATCAAACTCTAATGTAAATCTTAAAATTTACTGAAACTTTAAAAATTATACAACAAAGATGAATGAATCTTCGGTAAAATACAAAATAAATACCTTGAAAAAATCAATAAAATTTTATGAGAAAAATTTGCCATAGACAATATTTTTGAAGAATAAATTTTCTATTAGACAAGAATATATTAGGGTCATATATAAAATATGCAGTTTGTGTGGTGAAAAGTATGTTCTAATTTTACGCTGTTGAAGGTTTATGCTCCGGAGAACGATGAAGTTTTTACTAAAATTTAGAAGATTTAAGCAATACTTAAAGAGAAAGTACAAATTGAAATCATCATGTCGTTTATTTCTGGTTTTTTTCATACAACTTTTGAACAGAACAACGAATTATTCGGCAAAGCTTTTAGTTAAATTTGAAATATTGAAATTGTTTTAGTTGTATTTCTTGCAAATATATTTGCAATTGTACGAGAAAAGATATTTGTCATGATCAATACTAGTTTTTAATGAAATATTGATTTTGTCTTTAAGAATTTGAAAATTGAAATTAAAATTATGCTCAAAACGTGAATACAACATCAAAATTTTAAACTATAAAAATTAAGGGCATCCTTGAAAATGTAACTGCAAGTTACATCAAAATCAATGTTTCACTTTTCTTTTTTGAATTTAGTCGTTCTAAAATTTAAAATTATTGTATGAGGTTTCCAAAAATATCATAAGTAAATAAAGACAGACTACAATTTTCACTTGGTATTTTGTTTTTTTTTCATACTTTATATGTGGGTGAAATTGTTTTCATATTATTTACAATAATTTTTTTTACAGTGTAAAAATCAATTTTTAAACAGGAATTTTTTAAATTGTTTACATTTTTAATAAATCTAATAATATCATGTAAAAGTAGCAAATATGAAATAAATCTAATCCTGTAGTTTTATAGAGTACGGAATAAAAAAAACTCCTTTCCTCTAAACAACAATAATTCAGTATTAATGAAAATTTTTTATTATTTGAAAAAAAATTTTAAAAATTAAATAGGTACAGTAAGTCGGTGATACACATAAGAATGTTTTTCAAGAGTTAATAGGCAGTTGACAAAAGGAAGCAGAATATACGTAAATTTTTTTAGTATGGTGACACTCTTGATAAACGCAGTCGTGGGAAGTTTGGTCATTGTATTCTAATATGAATGAGTTTTGCGATATGATTGAAAAACAAAATCAAAAATAATAAATTGAATACTGAAATCTTTATAGATTTTAGAAATTGACAAAATTTTAATATTGCAAACTTTATAGATCCCAAAATATAACCAATGATATTAAAAATTTACAGCGACTATTCAAATCATTGCTGTGATTGAACTCGTAGTAATTATTAATTAAAATTTAGTTCATATCTTGTAGATCTCAAACGTTTATTTCGTACCGCTACAAACGTGCGCGTAACTTTTTAATATGCTTCGAACACTCGTTAAAACAAAAACAAACAATATTATTTAATTTTATATATAAAGAACACTAAATATATTTTGTTTAATGACGTGTATTATGGGATAATGTATCCTAGCAAATAAATACTTCAAAACTTACTACACATTTTCAAAGTAAGTAGAAATCATATAATACTTTATAAAACATACACATGTGTATACATAAAACAAATGATAACATTTCATCAGTCTTAAAAATTATTAGAAAAAAAATCTATTCAAAACATTTCGTTGTACGAGTATGAGAGACTTATTCATTCACTTATCATACAAGTTCAGTAGGAAGTCGAATTATTAAGGACAATTTACTGATTTAAGTGAAAAATATTAGTAATAAATTGAAATCTAATTCAATTTACTGATGAGTAAATTTGTGCATATGTATGTATGTTGAAACCAGATTTTCGCTTTCTTTTTTCTTTTCTTAGTTGAAATATGAATGTTTTATGGATCATTAATACTTCATATTATGGACAAGTATTGTTATTTTATATTACAAAATAATAATGTGACAAAATACACATGTACATATACCTAAATATAAATTGCCGCAAATATTTATATTTCATAAATTGTAAGTAGGCGAATTTTCAAATAAAAAATCATAAACAGATATTATAAGACAATTTATTATAAACTTACTAATATGCCACCAGCAAATTGTGAAAATAAACCTACCAATTCTTGAAAAAATTCTTTAAGTTAGGAAAATTTTTGAAATTGAATAATATTTCAATACCTACACGTGTATGACTTTAAAGATCCTTTACTTGAAATAATGTTGTTCGTTCAAATTTGAAATAAATGTTGTTCGTTAAAAATTATTCGAAGTTTTAAAAAATATTGAATAATTTAATAATAGTCAATGGATATTATACATTTTAGGTAAAATAAAATGAGATTATGATTCGAGGTGTCCTGTAGTTAAAAAGACAGGATGAGAACAAAAATTAAAACTTTTAATTTATTATTAAATTTTAACCATAAATACTACTCGTACAATCTAAAGGATTGCTTTCAACTATTGTATTTAAACTGTGGCTTTGATTATGGGAAAGCTCAAATCTGAAAATTCTGAAGCATTGAATATTCTTCAAAAACGGTGTACGTATATTCTAAATATAAAAATATTAATAAAAATGTTATTGATCAGAAATCTTATATTCGAAAAACTTTCCGAAATATTGCCAATCAGTTCTTCATATCAAATGACTCTGTTTTTACGTATACGAAAGTCTTCAAAAAATTTCGAAAAAATATTTAAATAAATAATAAAAAGGAACAAAGTATATATTGCAACCCGATATTAAATTATAAAATACAAAATGGCTAGAAGGATGCTTTTCTCGAGATAAAAAATACAAAAAAAAAATTGTTTTTATAAAATGTACCTTTTTAATTATGATTTATTGTATACTCGTATCAGTGAAAAAGGAAAAATGATTTTTTGAAAATTTTTAAATTTTTGCAAAGAGAATAAGCTGTGTAATATTTTTGGTACGCGGTTTATAACATCCAGAAATAGTTGAAGTTATCATTATATTTAAGAATATAATTTTAAACCACTCAATTAATATAAGGAGTGCATGCAATAAAAATCTATATTATAAAAAAATTTTTGTAGAAAATTTCTTAAAGTTAGTCAGTGTCTGTAATAAAACATTTTTCATAAATTTGTTAAATTTAATAATCTAAATGAAACGTGGATTTCAATGAAAAAATAGAAATTTCAATCATACAAAGAGCTTTAAGTCTCTAATCTACCTAAAGAAAACTTTCCGGTAAACTCGAAGAGACTAAGAGTGAGAGAAGATACATAATATTGGAATAGCGTTGTAGAATTAAGTGTAAAGTTTTCAACATGTTGGTAAAGCAAAAATTTCAGAATTAGTACCATTACATATAAATCATTCGAAAAATAATTTAACTCACCTGATAATAACAGCAGCAAATCCGAAACAGCCAAATTAAATAAATAAAAATTCGTTGCTGTATGCATATACTTATTACGAGAGATCACAATGCATGTTATTAAATTACCAACAATACCGGAAACTAATATAATTGCATAAAAAACAGTTATAACATAAATTAACGTTAACGCTTCACGATAGTTACGCTCTTTTAATTGTATTGTTGAATCATTAACATAATGTGATAGATTCTCAGGTGATATATTTAAAGCTTTACTTAAATTATCAATTATTAAATTATAATTTGAATTATCAAAATCTGTTATATTATTAATTATTCCATTATATAAGTATGATGCATCTGCTAATGTTGTATCTAATTGATAGCCACTTAATGTTAGATTTTCCGATGAAGATGATGAAGATTTTTCCGTATAGGCCATTTTTAAATAATTATAGCTCTTAATATCACTTTAGAAAAAAACAATATTGCTTGGAGGAATTTAAACTCTTTGATATCCTTTTTTCTTTCTTTTTATTTAATTTAATTTTTCGTTTTAATTTTTTATTTCCTCTTTATCTTTTAATCGTTTAATACACTTTGTTCAATTGTATTTTTTTCCCGCGTGAGCTTATAAACTCGTAATTTGTTTCCATCTGTTGCAGACAATTCCAGTAATGCTTTTATGCAATGTTCCTTTGTATATTTTTTTTATTTTTAATATTGTTAATAGCGAAAATTAAAAATGTTTTACTGTAATTGATTGCAAGTGTTGTTTTAAGCTATAACTCGATTTTATGCTGCAGTAAATTCAAGTTTGTAGTATTGTTTTTATCCGAATTTCAAGGATTTTTTGGGCAGCACACTTATTATAAATTGGAAATTCTGTTATTTTCTCTACTTTTGAAAACATGCTTCTTACAAAAACAGTATTCTACTGATAGCAATTATAATCTGTAAGAAAAAAAAAGGAAAAAGAAAAAATTAAAATTAATATTTGTGAAAAATTTAAATTATTATTAACCGTTTTGTGTGTTTAATTCTTTATAAAAAGCGTTTGTATAAAATTTAATTAACTTAATCTGAATTTGTTTTTGATATTTATTTTGAAGGAAAAGAAATTTTTATATTTACATTCAAAACAGCCTTAAAGAAATCACCATATAATTTAATTCTTGTACCAAATTGAGGTCAAAGTGAGATTTCACTAGAATAATATTTTACTTGAAACTTCCTTATATGTGCTTATACATTTTATTCCAAGTACATAATTAATGGCATATAATTTAAAAAAATGAATTAAAACAATGGTATACCTTGTATAATAATACAATATTTATACTAAAAAAGCATGAAACCCGCAAATAGAAGTGTTTGAACCCAAAATTTTATAATAACGGAAAAAAGCATTTCACAAGACAAAAGTTAAGCATGAAAATTGTGACGATAAGGGCTAAAATAAATCATGAAAAACGTACCGGATTCAAGTAAGAATTTTGTTATTAACAAAAATTATTATTTTAATTTCTCAAAATTATATTTTATGTTTTTATTAATCCATCCTATAAATACCTAAATGAAAAATATTAAATAAGTATTAGTTCATTTGGCTTAAATTTTTTTTTGGAAATATCTATAATTAAATTCCCTGAAGGATATTAAAATCTGTAACAGTATGACATAATGAAAGTATATTTATGTACATCTACATACATTCATTACATTACATATACTAAAGCAGGATAATACAGAAAATTTTATTACCGTCCACTAGAGTATATAATAAATCATTATATTGCATTTACGCTTACTACCATACAAACATACTTACATAAGTTACTTTGGGTAAATATTTGTTTTCACAAAATAACAAGAATAATTTATTTTTGTGTAATATTAATTTCAAAAGAATCCGCAATAATGTTATTTGATATTTTTAAGGAAGATTAAATTACATATAATATAATTAGTTAAGAGTGAAATTATTTATTTTCAAATAATCTTCTTATTATGTTGAGTCTTAGGAATGAAGAAGTAAAAATAAATTCTCGTTTTATTTTCTAAATAAACTATGTTTTTTTTTTCTGGGAAGTATAACGAGTTTTATTAAAATGTGATATTGTAGTGATACATTGAATTTGACAGAAGTGATAAATATTTCTCTTATGTCTTTAAAATAATTGGAACTACACGTAAATACTGTATTACAATAAATGTAAAAATAATGATGAATTGAATAATAAATTAATATAGTTTAAATTTAGCAACTTTAATAACAAATTATTATTTAAAACTAGCCAACATTTGCACAACAAATTTTTTTATATCCTACGCCTAAGTGGAGGCGTTGTGTTGTAAAATAAAATAATGTGTCGATTTAGGCATGTCCGTCTGTCCGTTAGAACACGGTAACTCAAAACCCATTCAAAACTAGTAAAACTCGTTACATTCTGTCACGTGTTCAATTAAAGCTCAAATATATTGTAGAAGTATATGTGGAATCGCTTAACAGATTCGATCGTTAGAACGAAACTCTTAATGCTGGTTTTGAATTATTTCAAAACCCTTTGAAGTAACTTCGTGGAATTTGATCAAAGAAAGTGCTGAATCATAGTTTATACATGACTCGAAAATTTGGGGCAGCTGGCTCACTTGGTTTTGATTTTGTAATCCTTGTGTGCTATATAGTTCAGTCAACTGAAATTTCGACTTTTCATTGGCATCAAATTGGTCTTCATATTTCGTGCCTAAAACCATGCAATTTTTATAGACACTTAAACATGACCTATGTATGTTGTGAATTAATAATTTTAATAGAGTTATTCTAGATTCTCTAAAATTTATTATAAAACATTACTACACAGAAATAGCTATATGTCAAGTGAAGCTCATGTATGAAATTTCAACTTAATCAGTTGAATAAATAAAAATAATTAAAGATACAAAATCGTATTGATGATGCAGCTCCCGGGACATGACATACCGCAAAAGTTGATCAACTATCTCACCTTCAAAGTAATGTCGTACGAATATATAAAATTTCATCAAAATTGGTTTAGCCGAATTTGAAATACCTATCTGCACCCACAGACAGACCGATAGACAGACAAGACATCGCTCTAAACATTGTTTATTTACGCAATGAAGTAAGTAAAAATGTAAATTTAATTTATCAAATTCTACAATATATTTAAATTTTAAGCTGAATTTAACAAAAAAAAAAAAAAATTTTTTCTCCTTATGTGAATTTTATTCAATTTTATTCAAAATACCATCTAACCATGCCGAATAAAATTTACATAAAAGTAAATATTTCCTAAAAAAAAAAAACTTTTTTAAACACAAAATTAATTTAGAAATTTATAATCGAATATTTTTTCATTTTTAAAATATGTGAACTATAATATAATTTTATATATTGCTTGTTTATTGATTTTGGCACGCATTCATTCAATATTATTTACTTATTTTCACAAACTGAGGCTCTTTGATATTCAAAATCGAAATTGCGTAAAGGAGCAAAATAAACAAACCTAATAAACCATTAATTTTCACCTACAATTTTTTTTTTTCTACACATTTCTATTACTATTTTCTTTATATCCTTATGGTTAAAATATATTTAAACAATTTTTTCAAATTTAAGAAATTTATTACACATAGAACATCGCACTATTAATATTAAGCGTTATACAAAAAATAAAAAAAAATATACTTTGTATAAGTTTCTAGGAAAATCAATGCGTATTGATATTCATGAAGAGGAAGTTAACAAGGAAGAATAATGTAATGTTCAATCAATAAAATGTTAATGATACAAAAGCAGTTACGATATGAACATTTTAAATGTGTATCAGTAGTTGATAACTTTAATTTTTTAAAATTTAAAAAAAAAATTGTGCAATCTATTGGTATTATTATATCTGTTGTTTTCATAAGTTAAATGAAATATCGATCAAATATACAATAAAATAAGAATTCTTTTACATAATGTAAAGAGTAAATTTTTAAATAAGCAGAGTGCCTGATAGTACAGATAACAGGCCAAAGTCAAATTCATAGTAGCTTTAAAGTTCCCAAATTTGACTATTATTGCAACAAATTTCGACTTATCACGCCGGATGAAGAGATAATTAACTTTTTATAATTAAATGAATAAAATCAAAGATTAATATTTTTAATCTGTAAATTATTTTGTTAAAAAAGTTGCAATGTTAAATCGTTTGCACAGCCAAAACTGTTATAAATTGCATTGCTGGCATTATAATGCTTTAGATTTAAAATTTCTCTGCATAATGAATAGTTACATAAAGAACTTGAAATACAAAAAAAAATCTATGACATAAAACCATAAAATATTACAAAAAACATAATCCATAAAATTAATATCATAATTATGAGCAGGGAATTATATTCCATGGAAATTTAAAAGCCCCAAATTTCTTTGACCATTGAAATATTTAATACTTTAACACTTGCTATGAATTGAAACAAAAGCAAATCCATAATTTATTACTACAAAAAAGATAATAATTCTTTTTATTCACCATAACAAATAATGAGCTTATTTCACTTAAATAATTTACAATAGAATCGTTCGCCCCTGGTCAAAAAAATATAAAAAAAAGGATTGAATTTAAGAAAAATAACATATGTGTAAATATTATTTGATTTTTTTTTTAATACATTTTGAAGGATATCTTATAAAAGAAAAATCACACAATTTTCCTCATCGCCTTTTTTTTTACTTTGTTTATCTATGCAATACACAAAGATTTTATAAATATTGAAAAATTAAAGGAAAAATAATAATATAAAATAACATTTCGTTACTTTCCTGTCGGTTTTCATAGCAATTTTGGAAATTTTTACAAATTTTTTTTTCAAGAAAGTGTAGGTATGTGATGTAATGTTGTATTTCAATATAAATTTATAAAAATAAAACTAAAATCGGTCTCAAAATCACCGCGTTATTAAAAAATAATCTAAAAACTATTTGAGTCCCAATGTTAAAGGTACATGAAGTTATGCAGACATGGTATCTGAATTCAATATGGAAATATTCCAATAAAGAATTTGTTTTTTGAGTGTTTTCGTTCCTTCATATTTCTGCATAAGTATATCAAAAATTTCGATTTCAACCCGATTAATAAATTTGTTTTGAATCTCGGGAAATTACAAGAAAAATAACTAAAAAAATATATGTATCATAATATTTAAGCTGGAAAATTTTTAAAGAATGGTTAGATGTTACATAAATAAATTTAGTATATGTATGTATGTATGTATTAAAATTTTGTTTACGTGTATAAGCAATAGAAAATTTTTCAAAAAATTATGCATATATTTTTGTTTTGTTACCTTAAGCGCAAAATTCAACAAATCATCAATAATAATATTTTTACATTTTTACATATTAAAAAATTGAAAAAGTTAAAATGAAAGATTAAAGAAATGTTGTACCTTGACAATTTCAAAATTAAAAAAAAAAAAATTTTATTTGTAGAATTTTATGTTCGAATTTTAATGTAGCACTTACTCATTCGAAAAAAAAAATTTCTAATTTTGTTGTAAACAAATTATTGACATATTAGAATATCGAAGTATAGAATTTCTCATTTATAAGAGAAAAATTTATTTCACGTATAGGGAACAGAGCAAACAAACCGTGAACATATTCTGGTACTATATTATTCCAATATTTATTTAATAACGTTTCGACAAATAAACATACACATGTAAATGTATAACATATTCCAAAATAATTTGAATTATTCGAAATAAATAATTTTCCTTATATTTAAAAAAATAAAAAATAAAGCAATATTTCTCTGGTAAATTTATGTATTTCATAGTAAACATAGAGTTTGTCAAAAAATCCAAAATTTTATAATTTTGAATGCAAAATTCATAAATTTTGTAGATTATAATTTCCAAATATAATTAACAATTTG